CTAGATGATCTGCTCAGGTCCCTTCCGACCCTAGAAACTATGAAACTATGAAACTATAATTAAGTAATCAAAGAAACCTTTATTTTCACCTTACAATAAGAAGAAAATAAAGCTAAAAGAAGTGGATGGAAACAGTTTTGCCTTGTTAGAGTCTTCTTTTCCTATCCAAATTGCTTAGAAAATTTGACATTTTAAATGTTTTCCTGAAGCAAGTATCCAGAAGTAATTAAGATAAATGGTTTGCTGAGAATTGAAAGTGGTTTTTTTCATTTCAGCTTCTTATTTCAGAAAATTGACACAACCTGTTCCCTCCCATATACATTTCAGTGTCTATGGACTGTCATTTTCTGGGAAAAAAAATCAATAAGAGCTCTAGTTAAAGATACATTTTTTTTATATTATTGAATTAAACATATGTAAGCAAATTCAGCTAAATCAGAGTTTAAGAAGAAAATGTCAAAGTCATCTAATTGAATTGGCCGGTAGAAAGAACTAGATCAGTCCACAAACTGAATGAAACACACATCACTGGGGGAAGTGGGAGAAACTCCACTGAAGTGTTTCTTTTTAAACCTTTGTCATTCATTTGCAAGCCAAACAACAGTGTTGCCAGCAAAAGCACTGTATCCATAGCTCTCTGTTTTATAAACCTTTTCTATGTAAACAAAAAGTAATGAAAAATTAACATGAAACCAAGAAAACTGAAGATTCATTATTAAAGCATGGAGACACATAACAGAAATACAAAATGATGGAATGAAAATGTTTTGATGGTGTGATTCAAATAACTTGTTTTAAAATAAGTACTAAGGTACTATAGCTCTCCTATCTGAAAAACCTGGGAGATAACATTTTTGCTGTTATAGTCAATCAGTGGATTATAAAGTACCAAGTTTTGTTGATTTAAGAGAGTTATATTTAAGATGAATTTGATCGAAAAATTTTTAAATTGTTGCTCCAGAAAAAGGGCCCAACCCTCCACATACAGTACAACTTCCTTATAATAATGCCCTGTTTATAACAACCTCTCCTTCCTCCACTCCCCTCCCCACCCCTGCCATTTGTTTAATCCCAAAAATAGGAACTATTCTTTTTCTTATGATGCAGCAAATTCACTAACCATATTATTGTGAGCACATTTTAATGTACTGTTCACCCAGTCCTGTAGGGCTTTATTACAATGAGATTGTACTGTGCTCCTTATTACTATGGTACATATTACTGTGAGTACTGCTACTGATATACAAAGAACGTTTGATGACACTGTATAATAAATAAGGACTGCTTTCACTTGGATGTGTTAGCCAGATCAGGTCTAACTACAGGACTGTTTACTAATACTCCAAACTAAAATTAATCTGGTGAATGCACTTTCAGAGACACTGGAATAATGATGGACTCATATTTAAAATGACATTAATTGCCCACTTGTTTTCATTAAAATGATTCACTTATTCCTTCTTTATTCTTGGAAATTCTTTACAAATATATTCAGTCAGATCCATAGCTTGTGAAACCGGGATGGATGAATACTCATATACCAACTAAAGATTTGGCCTGAAGGATGCTAATTGAAAATTGAAGTCTTCATTTTAGGAGGTAACGAGGAAGCATTTTTCCTTTTCTTCCCTCCTTTTGCATAATTGCCTACTGTATCATCTTTATGTACAACTAGCAAAAGGAGAAATGATTTCATGCTTGTTATTTGTAAAAGCCTTTAGTTAAGTTTATAAAAAATATTAAGTGATTTTCATGCATACTGCTTAAGCAGCTAATGATTAAAGTTAAATACAACTGAATGTCAATATTTTATTAACAAATATTTTATTAGCTCTTTTAAAAATAGTAATTAAAGAATGGCCATAACTGTAGGAAAGGATTTTGCAGTATAGTTAGAAGTCTTAGGAGGCTTGAGGGTCATGAGTTATTTATTGTCATATCAACATCATTGTATAAAATACTCAGCCATAAAATGATCAAAAGATTTTAATTTTCTTGGGTTCATGACTATGCTGTCCTTTGTTTGATACATATTTTGAATAATTTACTTATCTTGAGGAATAATACTTACAACTGCTGAAAATATCTTCTGTAGTTTGTGGTTTTAATTGTAAGCAGTGTTAATAGCTTAAGGTTATAGTTGTAACCTTTGCTTTTGTTAATTTGAAATGTTTGCACTGGGGGTATTTTTTGGTTTTCTCTCTCTCTCCTTCACTCTCTCTCCCTCACTTTCTCTTTGCAGTAAGCATTATTGAATAGTTTTCTAGTGCAAATATCTATAGTAAATATTTATTGGGTACCGAGCTATTTCTCTTGTTGTTTTCCAAGTGTTTGCAGAAAGTAGAGTTTTTAATCCCAGATTTACACAGATCAGTATGGACTACAAATTTAAGGAGACAAGTACATTTATTAACACTTCACA